TTTGTGAAACTCCGCCATATTCGAGAGGTATTCGATCGTTTATAATTGTACCGTTTGGAGTTTCATTAACAGCAGATCCTGGTTCAGTTTTTATAGTTTCATTTTCTATTGTCATATTATTGTACATTTCGCTTTCTAATAGCAAATTCTCTGCAGGTGCATCGGGTACTTCTTGTTTTATAAATTGTTGCATAATAACTTCATCATTGATGAATATTTTTTCATTATTACTCATATGTGTCGGCTGTATCCTTTCACTTTTCTTTTCGTTATTGAATAATAATTTTTCTGTGGTTGTTTCAGTTCTTTTATCTACTATACATTCTTGTTTAATAACTCCATTTCCTATTGACGCAAGTTCTTCATATTTTAGTGATGGCAAAACATTGTTATCAGTTGGAGTAACATTTTCAATAGGGTTTTCGTTGGAATTATCACTTCTGTAATGCTTTTCTGATGACGTGGCGACATTATTTGGTTTTAAGTTTTGGGTACATTTAGCACTGAGGAAATTCTGTGGATGCTCTCTATGTATCTTAAGTAGGTGAGAGTTCAAAGCTTTCACTGTATTAAATTTTTTGTTACAAAGCGTACAGTTTCTTTGTTTTTCTTTCACATTTTTGGAGCTGTTTTTGGTGTATTTATCTGATATTTATATAAAAACGTGCATTACATTTAAAAAACAATCATTTATAAAATATATTTAAATATTTAAGAACTATTTGTGATATATCTACATAACGATAAGAAAAAAGAAAAATTATGGAAACTCAGTTTGTGAATAAATACAACACCTGCAGTTAACATTTATAAGAATATGATAATATATGTGTCAGATTTAACTTTATCACCGATGCAGATGACGGATTAAATAATGTGACTCCTTCTGACACATATCCTTACGTTTCCAACTACCTGACATATTCTTTCACAATATTTGTTAAATAAACTATTTTGTTCATTTCTGTAACAGTGGATAAAATTTTGTAGATTTATTTGTAGACATGATGTGTCTGAGTAAAATAATTCTTGATTTTCAAATTTAGCCAAAAGTTTAAATAAAATTAAAATTTTATGATTTTTTCTCTCATACAAATCTACAATCTATAAAGCTCTAACTATCGATAACCATTGTGAATTTGCAATCAGCGTTAGCACATTAGCACATTACTACACAACAAAACTACAATAATTTTACAACATAATGACGACGTAAATACCTGCTGGGCAACCTAATCTTCTTGAACTTGTATCATTCTGTTCTTAATATTCTCAAACTTCATATACTTCATATACAGTAGACTTCTAATTTAACTAATACTCGATATAACAAGCGATCAAATGCTTGAAAATACTAAACATAACAACTGTTTTTCTGTGTTTCTAAATAACACATTTTTTATACAACAAAATTCTATTGTGTATTAAAAATAACTTACGTATATGAACTTCTGTATCATAATGTGTTTTAAGTTCTTCTTCTGTTGCATAAATTGCTTTGCATTCTGTGCATTTGAATCTTTGTTCTCGAGCCTCATTCGCCAACTTGCTTTCAGACAAATGAATTCTGACATGTTGCTCAAGCCTGTAAAACCAAACCATTAATATATTTATTTTTTCAATGTAAATAGAATTACTTCTTATTAGTTGTAAATGTCTCTTCACACTGAGCACAAGCAAAAGGACGTACATGCATTTTACTGTGGGAACGTAGCTGATATGCTAGCATAAAACGTTTTCCACATTCGGAACAAACGTGTGGCTTTTCCCCACTATGTCGCTTCATATGAACATTGAGTGCTCCTTTACGAGTAAAACCTTGTTCGCACTATAGAAATATGTATACATATTTTATTATATATAATTTTAAACAAATATAATTGGAATATTTACTTCAGTACACGTAAATGGCTTTTCACCTGTATGTCTCCTCATATGAATTTTAAGTTCGCCTTTAACGGAATAATTTTTATTACACTAAAATAGTATCTTAATATAATGTTATTCTTCAATGAAATAATTCAAATATTTACTTCAGTGCACGAATAGAGGTTTTTTCCAGTATGCCGCTTTATATGTCTATTAAGATTCAGCTTAACCGCAAAACTTTTATTACACTATAAAAAATATATTATTAAAATTATATATAATTTTAAAATATTACAATTAAAGTATACTTCAGTGCATGTGTAGGGTTTTTCTCCAGTGTGCCGCTTCATGTGATTATTGAGTGCATATTTGGTAGTAAAACTTTGATTGCACTATAAAAATGAATGCCTGTTATATAATATTAAACAAAAATAATTGATATATTTACTTCAGTGCATATATAAGGGGTTTCGCCAGTGTGAGAATGGCGATGGTCTTTCAATTGACACCCTGACAGAAATTTCTTGTCACAAAAGTCACAAGTAAAACGTTTTTCTTTATGTCTACGTTTATGCTTTCTGCAAAATATTAAAAATTAATTTCAATAGACTTTTTAAATGTATAAATCATTTATAACTTATTACATTATAACTTACTTTAAAATCGACAAACTGGGAAAACTATTTTTACAAATAGGGCACATAAATTCTTTAATTTTTGCAAGTTGTGTGGCAAAATGCCGTTTTAAGTGTTTTCGCAAACTATCTACACCAGAGAACACTTTATTACACACTTTACAAGTGATGGTTTTTTTTAAGCTTCCTGCGCACGATGTGTACTTTTGATGACGTTTTAAATGGAAACTGCGAGTGAAATCTCTGCCGCATATTTTGCAGGCCCACAATCTTCCAAGACTTGCGTGTTGCTTTTCGTGTAACTTCAATAGGGTAGCTGTCCGTAATTTTGCATTACAAATAGAACAAGGAAATTCATCGAATTCCGAATGAATTATAAAAATATGTCGTTCGTAACTCAGTTGAGTTTTGAAGGATTTTGGACAATCAAAGCAATTTATTTTTCCACGCTTCACAAGAACAATATGAGTTAAAAACAATTTCATTAGTAAAATAAAATATTGTTTCATATATAAGGTCTGTTCCACGAGCTACTTCTAGTAACTTTGAGTAACACTGTGTATACACAAGTGCGTTCCACAAGCAAATTGAGTTTTACTATGAGTAGCTCGTGGAACAGACCTACTCTATAAGAATTTCGTGATAATCAATAAATATTTTATGAAGCGATACTTAACTAATATTTTTAATAGTTAGACGTATTTTTATATATATATAATAAGTTAAACCAAAAGAATTAATTATTTTTTATTAATTATATATTATTAATATTTTCAGTAATTTGCTAATGTATCAATAATAGTCATTATTTTATTAAAAATAAATAAATTTATAAAAAAGAAAGCTTAGTTTTTTTACATATTTAGATATAATTTTCTTGTTTTATGAACTATTCGTACATTTTCAAATGATATGGCTGGAGAAGGCAATGGAAATTAAGATTGATTGTTCTTACTATACCAATTTGTAAAGAAGACAAAGTATGAATTAGAGTATAGACAAAATTACAAGAGCTACCACAATATAATTTTAAATATTTTGAAAAGACCATAAAAACTGTCTTAATAATACGTTATATGTATTTAGAAACTACTTTGGATTAACAGACATAGACAAAGAAAGTTAATAATTTTGTGTTAATAGAACATTTTAACTTTGGACATTTTGAACGAGTATATATACAAAAATATTTAATTGTATTTGCAATTGAAAAAAGAGTTTTTTATACAAACGGCAAGATCAAAATCATAATTTTATTCTAACTTTGGTGAATATTAAATAATCCTAATTATATACATTTATGAAATTATCAGATTATGATAAACTTACATGAAATGTATCATAACTTTCACCGCAACAAAAGCATATATTCTCCTGCTCTAGTTTAACCGCATCCTCTTCGATTTTCTGTATGTTTGTTATCATTTCTGCTTTTCGAGTGTGATAACTACTATTCAAATAGCACACAGCTAAATGTTTTTTAAGCATCTGTAAAGTATAAGCAAAGTATAAGACATAAATAAAAACTGATTTAAATAACAATTACAGTACTTACACCAAATACTTTAAATGACTTAGAGCAATTGTCGCATTTATGTTTTTCAGTACGATCCTCAACTGCTTCTTTTGTACCGTCAGTATTCAAATGGTCCCTATCATTTATATTAGATATTTTGTCCTCCGATTTCACTATATCATTATCCGTTAATGAAAAACCAATGTTTGGGCCTACTTCGTCTTTAATGGAAACGGTTTTTAAAACGTCGTGACTCATTTTTTTTTTATTTTAGCTGTCCTGGTCAACTTTTCAATTTATTCATGAGAGTGTTTAAATGGAACGAATACCATTTAGTTTTAGCAACAAGGAAAGTCAATCATTTTCAACGGTGAAATTTCTTATTATTATTAAAATAATCATACTTTAAATTATATATTCATATTTCGAAAGTGAAAATTTTAATTTGTAATATAACTAGTTTTATGTATTCGACATAGGGTTAACATAGGGTTAAAAGTTGAGGCAGTTTATTATTGGATTTTATTCAGTACATTATTTACTCGAGATTATACTGAGAAACCAAATAACTTATTGATGATATTATTTGCAATTTATATTTATGTAAATGAAAACACGAACAAATTCGAAAACTTCTTATGTAGTACAACTAATATTTGTTACTTTTTTAAAATGTGTCAAAAGTGCAAACAAAAAAAAAACAAACTTCAGAGTTGCAATTTACGCAACGAGATAAATTTATATACACACGGAGAAGATTTATTTTATACACTTATTCAACCGCAGCGGATTTCTCATTCTTAGTGACGTTCAATGAATTTAGTTATATTGTCATTACGACGTCAAACAATCGTAGTTAACCAATCCGAAGCATTAGCTCCTCCACCAATCCTTTAAATGTTTTTTTCTTAGAAGGGTTCGAATAAAAATGAAAAGACAACATAAATTTTAGTTAATTTGTTGAAATTTGGCTGACGCTCTTTCGCGTATTACCAAGTACTCATCATCAATGGTCTTAGGAAATATTCGAATTTTTTAATTAGTTTATAGTCGGTATACAATTTGTGACTTTTTTTGTGTTGGAAAAAGTTCGTTATGGCCCAATGTTTCCCTGGGAACAAATGAATATAATTTGTGCGGACTGCAAGTGCCAGGTTTAGAATTCATGTCTGTTAAATTAGAAGTGATAACTAATCGTTTTTTTCCACAAGTAGCCAAAGCTACACAAACTTACAATGCTCAAGTTCCTTAGAATAGTGTCACTTAAAAAACAAAAACTTAAGTATTTTGATAAGTATTATTATTTCTAACACTTAAACGGCAAGACAAATGTCTTTTAGGAAGTAGTAGTAGTATCTTTTAAAATATATATTTTTCATTGATTTCATTCAGTAAAGCGATAGTGTTATTGATTGCAATGATCATCAATCAATTTACCTGTTAACTTATTTATTTTATTATCTTTATTTAGGCTAATGTGGTCAGATCTAATACACAAAAATAATCTGCTTATTTGATTTAATTAAATAATTATTTTAAAACAATAAATTTAAGTGAAAAAATTAACTTTTGTATTTATAAATTAAATAACATTTATTAATTACTTTAAATTATTATATATGTCTTCTATATAACTATATCATAAATTGAAGTATAAAAATTATATTTTATATTATAATACAATAGAATTGTTATATAACAAAATAATATTTGTAATTGTATTCGTTTTTTAGTGGACTTTATGTTATTTTTATATTACTTTAAATAATATATATATTATATTACTTTAAATATATATATTATATATGTATGTAATTACGATAAAGATTATGATAACGATTGTGTATGACAGAGAAGATTTCGATACATGTGAAAAAAATGTTTCAACAAATAAATTTTCGTAAGAAAACTCTCGGTTTATTTTTTCTCTAATGTCTGATTTTATTTAGGTTGTAGTAATATTTTCAATTAAAATTACACTTAAATACTTAAGCTAAATTTATTTATTTTTTTTTTAAATTGTAAAAGTTTTTAGTATAGTATGTTTCAAAATAAAAACTCAATGTAATTATCGTTACAACTAATAATATGAAAGGTGAATTTGAGAATTATATTGTAACAGATTTCTAAACAATGATTTTGCATATTCTCGCAAGCGTCTTGAATAATCACAATATCCACGTTTTATAGTCACAATTTTCCACAACTTTTCAAATTACTTAATATCAGCAAATTTAACATACTTCTAATATAACATATTTATAATAAATTATTTATTATAATTATAATCAAAATTAACTAAGAAACATACATATTAACTAACATATACTGTTAAACTCAATTATTCCAAATAAAATTTTTGAATATTACTTTTTATTTTAAAATAATTTGCAATTTGCAATAGTTTTTATTGTTAAAAAATCTATTATGATGGTAAAAGCATGTTTCCTTTCTAGCTGTTGATTCTTTGAAGGAACAATACTTTTCAGCTTTGTTTATATATCATTCCTTTCTTTTAGTTTTTTTATACAGCAAATGTCACCGCCGACTGATCGATTATCTGCAAAGACACTTCTCAAATACTCGAAAAAAGTTTTTGGTGTTTTTTCCATTTTCTAATAATAAGTTCTATGTATTTGCTTCATTAGTTTCTGATTTTATATATTCTAATTCTGCAACGCCACTTTTGAATGAACTAGCTGGAGTATCGGGAACAGTGGTGTCCGGCTCGGTTTTTATACTCTGATTTTCTAGTGTCATAGAATTGTATTCTTCGTTTTCTAATAATATTTGCTCTGTGCTTATTTCACATACTTCATCCTTTATAAATTCTTGGACAATAGAAGAATTTTCTTCACGATATTTTACGGGTAATTTAATTTTTCTTTTAGGTCTTGTAATATTTTTCATTTGATTTTTATCGGAACATGGCTTAAATTTCTTGTCAAAACTCGCTTCGTCTCTACGACGTTTTTCCAAATCTTTAAATTGTAAAAATTTTATATAGAAAAAAATTATTTAAAATAATTCAAAAGATTTATGTTATAAAATATATAGATATAAAACCTATTATAAAGTTTGAAAAACTCAGTTTTTTATTTATTAAATATAATTTGAATTGATATTTAGTTTACGCTTACATTATGAGAGTTAATTCGATATATGTGCAGTAATAAATGCTGTATATTTATACTTAAATTAATTCAAAAATATGGCGGTTAAATCTTAAAACCGTAACTTCACGTTTTAGTGAAAAACTTATGGAAAACAATTAATAACTTAAATAAAGATTTCTAACCTGAAAAATATCTATTATTTAAATAAATAATTAATCATATTATAATGAAATTCTGAAATCATAAATATTTTGCACATATTGAAAATACTCTACCTAAATGAATTCCCGTGTTATGATGAATTTTCAACTCATCCTCTGTCGAATATATCGCTTCGCAATCTTTGCACTTGAATTTATGTCCCTGGGGTTCATTTTTCTGTTTGTTTTCAGATGAATGAGTTTTAATATGTTGTTCAAGTCTGCAAAGTTAAGTTATTAATAAATTTATTTTTTATAAATATAAATAATTATTTACTTCTTATTAGTTTTAAATTTTTCTTCACACTGATCACAGGCAAATGGGTGTAAATGAGTTTTTCTGTGATAACGTAGCTCAATTTCCTGTAGATAACACTTCCCACATTCATTGCAAACGTGTGGCTTCTGGTCTGCATGTCGCTGCATATGAATCTTAAGTCTCTGTTTAGACGCAAAACTTTTATTACACTATAAAAAATATAATTACGTATTATACTTAAGCTTAAATATAAATAATTTTAATATATACCTCAGTGCATGAAAATGGCTTTTCACCTGTATGTCGCTGCATATGAACCTTGAGTCCTTGCTTAGCAGTAAAACTTTTATTACACTATAAAATATATAATCTCTTATTATATTTAATCTTACATGATAAAAATGGAATACATACTTCAGTGCATGAGTAGGGCTTGTGTTTACTATGACACTTCATATGATTATCGAGTAAGCTCATGAAAGCGAAACTTTTATTACACTATAAATAAATGTACTTATTATATTAAAACTTAATTGAATACGTTTAAAATGTATACTTCAGTGCATGTGAATGGTTTTTCACCTCTGTGCTGCATTATATGAATCTTAAGTTTGTCCTTAGAATAAGCTTTATTACACTATAAAAAATTTAGTTCTTATACATGATATTAAATAAAATAATTTAAACATATACTTCAGTGCATGGGTAGAGTTTTTGACCAGTGTGTTGCTTCATATGACGATAGAATGTGGTCGTGTAAGAGAAACTTATATTACACTATTAAATATGAATATATTTTTATTTAAACTTATATATAAAATAATTAAAACATTTACTTCAGTGCACGAGTAGGGCTTTTCACCGGTATGTCGCCTCATATGACATTTGAGTGAGCTCATTGTAGAAAAACTTTGATTACACTTAAAAATTATATAATTATTATTTTTAATTTTATATAAAATAAATAAAATATATACTTGAGTGCACGAGTAGGGCTTTTCGCCAGTATGATGCCTCATATGAATATTGAGTGAACACTTCATAGAAAAACTTTTATAACACTAATAAAAATATAGACTTCTTATATTGAGTCTTAAATTAAAAATAATTCAAATATATACTTGAGTGCATTTGTAGGGTTTTTCGCCAGTATGATGTCTCATATGAAGCTTGAGTCCTTGCTTAACAGCAAAACTTTTGTTACACTATTAAAAATAGATCTAATTATTATATTTAATTTTATTTGAAAATAATTGAAAAATATACTTGAGTGCATGGGAATGGTTCTTGGCCTTTATGTCGCATCATATGAACATTGAGTGAACTCTTAATTGGAAAACTTTGATTACACTATTATAAATATATATTTATTATATTCAATCTTAAATGAAAATAATTACAATATTATACTTCAGTGCATGAATAGGGCTTTTCACCAGTATGTCGCCTCATATGACTTTTGAGTGAGCTCATTATAGAAAAATGTCGATTACACTTCAAAATTAAATACTTATTATTTTTAATCTAATATAAAATAATTATAATATGTACTTCAGTGCATTTGTAGGGTTTTTCACCAGTATGTCGCCTCATATGAATCCTGAGTGTACTCATAATAGAAAAACTTTGATTACACTGTTAAAAATATATATTTGTTATGTTGAATCATAAATGAAAATAAGTATAATATTATACTTCAGTGCATTTGTAGGGTTTTTCACCAGTATGTCGCCTCATATGAATCCTGAGTGAGCTCATTGTAGAAAAATGTTGATTACACTTAAAAAGTTTAAAAGTTATATAATTATTATTTTTAATATTATATAAAATAAT